CCTGAGATGGTATTTTTTGGGTGTAATTAGTCATCAGGGTTTCAACATTTCTTTATTTGCAAACGCCTTCGCTAATTCCAGTCTGAACTCAAGGATAGGTTGTCGCTTTTTTCGCGTTTTCTATTATTTAGCAACTAAGTATTGACTACTGCGGTATTAAATATTAATTCCACTGCCACTTTCCGGTACCACGTTAGTATTTTGCGTATTGGGCTTTTGTAAAAAGCCATTTGATCGCTAAAATCAACTCTTTTTTCACAACGTTATAATCTAGAATAGTTTGTGGTTTTAGCACTTGTGTCTAATTTTTCTTTCCACCTGAATAAACCAAGATACAACTATTATGTTTAAATGTTGTAATAATTAAAACTGGTTCTTTGTCGACCCATTTTATCACTTGTGAAATCAATAATGGGGTGAAGTTTCAGTATAAGTAGTTGCGACTTTTTTAATCTAGATTTTGGTTTTGAATTTTTTGTAGTAGAACATCTGCACATAAATTCGTTTCTTGAACTATGATTTGAATCCATCGACCCATATTCTAAAAGAAATGTGTTTTTTACGTTGTCGGGAATATTATAAATTGGTTATCTTTCACAAAGCATTCGAAATATGATTTAAATTCTATTTCAGAAAAATTTTTTACTGCAACTCTTGTTCGACCTAAACTAAATTATTACACAAAATAAGTAATCTATTTTTTTATAGAAATGTAGAAATAGAATTTTCTGTCGAAGTTTTATGTGTGGCATGAGTCACTGGTGTCTCGTATATACGGTCCTCTTATCGCATTACAAACATAATTCTCAATTAACAGTGCGGTACAAGATATATTTAGGTTGTATAATCAAGCCGTAATACTTGTCGTGAGACCATAAGACCGTATGTTATAAATAAATATATTCCTACAAGAATTATCTTAAAAAATGAGAAAAATACAATAAAAAAGTGCAATATGAAGTGTTATTTAAAAAATGGCAAGTCATTCACGGGCGGACAGTTAAAAACAAAAGTTTTCAGTGTTCTATTGCTTGATTATTATTATCTGGTTGGTATATTTTAAAAATACTAGCCAAGTATTCTAAAAATGTTGACTTTTTTCCTGGTCTGACCTTCCTCAACTAACGTTATCTTTTTTAATTGGTGAGTTGTGTTCTTTAGGTCTCTTTAAGGGTTTTGTTGCTATCCATACTGAATGATCTTTAGACAATGTACTAACGTAGTGTTCAAATGTGGCATTGCATGCATCATGTAGCGCTGATCTTAATTGTCCGATTAGTCGATTATATGTGTGTTTGTCATTAGGATTTTGGCTTCTTTGCCATCTACCTCTGGCTCTTCATTTTCTCTACAATCTCTAGAAGAAATTCTAAACATAATGGACGAAAGAAGAAAATACAGAGGTAAAAATGAAACAGCATACAAGCAAATACACAAGAATATCAGAATAAAGATCCAACAAGCCAAAGAAACCTGGCAGTGAAAAATGCCAAGAAATTGAAGAGTTGGAACAAAGACATGATACTTTCAACCTTCATAAAAAAGTAAAAGAAGCCGCTGGAATATTTAAACAAACTCCTACGTCTTTCATCGAAGATAAACATGGGAACCCGCTACTGAACAGAGAAGATCAAATAGGTAGATGGAGAGAATACGTGGAAGAGATGTTTCAAGACCGAGAGAGGACGAACATTTACATGCAGGAGGCATCGACTGGACCTTATATCACCAAGCAAGAAATTATCAAAGCGGCAAATCAGATAAAGAAAGGAAAAGCTGTTGGGGAAGATAATATCCCAATTGAAATAATAAAGATATTACTAGACAAGCACATCGAAGTAATGGAAGATATATTTAACAAAATATACGAAACAGGCATAATACCAAATGATTGGCTGACATCGGTGTTTATACCACTACCAAAGAAGAAAAACTCCAAGAAATGTGAAGACCATAGGATTATTAGCCTGATGAATCATATGTTGAAACTTTTCCTACGAGTAATACACAATAGAGTATACAATAAACTAGACGAACACACTGGTCAAACTCAGTTTGGTTTTAAGAATGGGTTCGGAACAAGAGAAGCACTTTTTTCAATACGTGTGCTAGTTGAAAGATGTAGAGATGTCGATTCTGATGTATACTTGTGTTTTATATACTTTAAGAAGGCGTTTGACCTGGTGAAACATTATAAACTAATAGATATTTTAAGGTCATGTAATATCGACGATAAAGACTTAAGGATCATTTCAAACCTCTACCAAGAACAAAAGGCTAAAATCAGAATAAAAAGCGAAACATCTGGAAAAATCAATATCGAGAAGGGAGTAAGACAGGGATGTGTCCTATCACCTTTGCTGTTCAATGTTTACTCTGAGAAGATATTTCAGAAAGCTTTAGAAGGCACCTTGGATGGTATAATTATAAACGGGAAATGTATAAATAACCTGCTATATGCTGATGACACTGTCATACTGGAAAATATTGCTGAAGCCCT